CCCCCCCCGCCACCGTGCCAGGAGAGAAGCAGGGGGTGTGCTGGCCTCTGTGCACCTTGGATGCGCACTTTCCTCCAGGGGATTCGGTTGCTTTGTAGACAGGGATTGAGGCCCCGGATAACCAAGAGAGCTCCCAGCAGGACGGCCTGGCCACACCTGTCCTACCGAGGCCCCCAGTGGAGCCCGTGGGAAACTTCAGTCTGCCGTTGGGCCAGAGCAGCTAGTATTTTCTTGGGGTTTCAGAGGCTGCAAAGTCACTGTAAATCCAGGAAATAACCGTTCTGCAGCGGGAATTCCATCCACTGTCTCGGGGCGTCAGGACTCTGAGCTGTTAGCACAGAGCCCCTTGATGAAAACATAGAGGCTTCCCAGGCCTCGGGGCTGAAGACGGTGGTTCTGTAACCCCAGCCTGTGTTTCAAGCTTTGAATTTTATTCTCAGCAAGAGCACAGGCCGTCCTCCCGCACAGCCGTGTCTCTAGCCCACACGTGCACGTGCGTGTATCCATGGTGCATGCGCATGCACACACACGTGTACAGTGTCACTAATTCAGGATTGTGCTTGAGGTGGGAGCCAGGTTTTTTAATAAATTTATTTATTTATTTATCTTGGGCTGCCTTGGGTCCTAGTTGCTGCGCGTGGGCTTTCTTTTAGTCGTGGCGAGCAGGGGGCTACTCTTTGTTGAGGTGCGCAGCCTTCTCATCATGGTGGCTTCTCTTGTTGCGGAGCCCGGGCTCTAGGCGTGCAGGCTTCAGTAGTTGTGGCGCACGGGCTTAGTTGCTCCGCGGCATGTGGGATCTTCCCAGACCAGGGCTCGAACCTGTGTCCCCTGCATTGGCAGGCGGATTCTTAACCACTGCACCACCAGGGAAGTCCTGGGAGCCAGCTTTAATGGCTGCACCAAGATCTATCTTCCAGCATGTGCGGAAAGCAGTTCCCCTTGAAGCGCAAGCAGGAGATCGAAGTGTGTCCTGCTGGGGAAATGGTGCAGATTGAGGAGAAAAATCACAAGTGCCTTACTTGTAAGGAGCCCTTGCTGTGAAAGGCCTTTAGTGTTCCACAAGTAGTTGCAAGACCCTGACTGGCAGCAGCAACACCCTGTAGGGGTGCGGGGTCTTCTGGAGACCTGGGGTCGCGGGAGCAGCTGCAGCGTCTGGGAGCGGCTGGCTGCTCAGGATGCCAGACCCAGGTCCGTGGGCAGGTGGCCTGAGCCTCAGCTTCCCCAACTTGTGGGACAGGTGCCCCTCCCCCTCCTCCCAGATGTAAAGGAAGGCACATTCCAGGACATTCCGTGGGGAGCAGCCAGGCTCTGGGTGCTGTGCTGGGGTGCCCTGTCCTGAGCCGGTTCTCTGCACTGCCCCCGCCCACCAGCCTGCTGACCACCCTGTGACCGGGCAGTCTCAGGACCCGGGCCTCCAACACAGATCCACGTGTGGGTGGTGGGCTGGGTGAGGTGCCAGCCTCCCTGGAGCCTTTTCTCATCATGAGACCGTGGCCTCATCTGGGGAGCGGAAGGGACCTCCTGCGTCCTAAGTCCTTCTCCCAGCTCACGCCTGAGCACACCTGCAGGGCAGAGTCCAGTCGTCCAGAGCATCTGGACCCAGAAAGGAACTTGGGGTCCCTCCCCTCCCCCCGCAGTGTTTGCCAGAGGAAATCAGTGCTGCCTTGAAGTGCAGGCTTTGACTGGGTAGAATGACGGGGTTCTATGGGAGCCTCCCTGCCACGGGTCCGCTTTTTGACCTCCTCATACCATCACCGTGTTGTGTTCCTGGGGTGACCAAAGCCATCGCCCTGGTGGAAGGTGTGGCGTCCTCCATCCCCCCATCCCCCGAGGGACCTGCAGGTCCTCCAGCCACGGGAGGCAGTGACCCATGTAGCAGCCCCAGGGTCACATCTCGCCTGGTCCCTCGGGTCCTGGACCACGTGCTTCTCAGCAGGACGGGGCACAGACCCTCATATCCAGAGCCATGGGGCCTGTGTCACGGCCGCACCCAGAGCCGGGGAGCCAGGAACCAAAACTCTGTGGAGTCTGGCCGAGCCCCTGCCCGTGTCTGTCGGCACCTGGCTGTCAGGCTGGTCCCTCCTTATGGAGCGAGTCTTTCTGGGCCTGGGTGTTATGGGGCCATTTCACAGATGGTGTAACAGCCTCAGAAAGGGCCAGACACTGTCCTAATAGCCAGGGACCCTTCTAAGGCCCCCACGTTTCATGTCTACCATACTGGGTTGAGTGGTGGCCCCCAAAACATGTCCAACGGAATCGGTGGATGTGGCCTTATTCAGGAAAAGGGTCTCTATAGGTGTAATTAAGGAAAGGATGGAGCTGAGATCATCCTGGGTTAGGGGGGCCCTAACTCCAATGACAGGTGTCCTTTTGGGTCACAAGAGGAGCCACAGCAGAGGTGCCAATGAAGACGGGCAGAGGTTGGAGCGATACAGCCACAAGCCCAGGACGCCTGGGGCCATTCAGGGTGGAAATGGTCAGCAGAGAAGCCGACCCCCTGTGTCCAAGAGCCCAGTACGTCCATCTGGGTTAGGGAACAGAGCTGAGTCCCTCACCAGCTGCAGCCCCTCGGGTGCAGCCACGTCCCAGGGCGGGTCCAGGGCGGGTCCAGGTCATCTTCAGGAGCTCGTGTGCCCAGACGAGAAGTCTGGCTTACGCTTAGCAGCTCTGGGCTTCCAGCACTAAGGGGGAGAGTGGAGACGCAGCCCAGGTGCCCTGACTGGGCCGCATCTTGAGGTCTGCAGGGAGCATCCTCTGAGGCGCCCAGCGCCCTGCAGCCCAAGCAAGGCAGACCCACCCCGGTGCCCACCCGTCCCAGGCATCCTGTCCCGCAGGCACAGATGGGCGCTGGGTGTCTGCCCGGCCGGGGGTCTGCAGAGCTGCCCTCCCCATCTCAAGTGGGCGGGGCCAGGGGCCTCAGACCTAGCAGAACTGCGCTCACCCTGCCTGCCTTGCCCGGCCCCTGGGAGTCTGGGGGCTCACAGGTGCATTTAATCTGTTGCATTTTTGTCTATTACTGTATTTTGAACCAGGAACATTTCGGAACTTGTGGCTTGGCCTGCGTGCTACGATTTCTAACCCAGAATCCCTATCTGTCTGTTTGGCCCCTGCCAGGTAACATGTCCAATCTGGACCCCAAGTCCTCGTTTGAAGGCACCAAAGTGGACGTGGGGAACATCGTGCTGGCGCTGTACAGCGGCCTCTTTGCCTACGGGGGATGGTAGGTTCTAGAACATCTGGGCCCTGGGGCACACGTGCCAGCCCCCAAAGTGTCCAGAAATCCACACCTCTCAGCCATCCACAGGCAATTCTACGGGGCGGGGGCAGGACACCCCTTGCTTTCCGAGGAAGCACAGAGGGGCCCTCATAGCAGTGCTGTTCTCGGCTCGTGTCCTGCCCCCGAGAACAGGGCCCCGAGATAAACCTCTGCTGACACCTCAGGGCCGGTGCCGCTTCCCAGTGGGGATGGCGCTGGGGCGGGGCAGGACCATCGCCATGTCAGGAGGCACCCCCGTGGCCCCAGCTGCCCACCAGGAGGGAGTGAGCGTCCCCTCTCCACCGGCCCAGGGCAGCCAGGTCGGACTCCCCATGGAACCTGCATTCTTTCTTCCCGATGACTGCGGGAGGAACGTATAATAAAAGTCTGCTCTCTAAATTCTAGGAATTACTTGAATTTTGTCACAGAGGAGATGATTAACCCCTACAGGTATGTATGTGAACAGAGACGCGTGTTTTTGTCATTTTCACATGAGAGAAGGAAGAAGTCTTTTTCTGTCCAAGAGCCCATCCTTGGGCTCAGCCCAGCCCCTGACAGAAGCAGTGCATGGCCTTCCGGGAGGGCCCCTGGGGTCAGGATCGTGGGGGCCGTGTGATCTGGAAGAAGGTGCGTCCTCAGAATGGGCAGGAAGCCCATTTCACAGATGGGGGCGTGGAGGCCGGCAGGGTTGAGTCGCTGGCCCCGGTTTGCACAGCTGCCCTGCCCCGAGCGCCACCTGCTGGTCACGTGCCGCTTGCCCTGCAGCGAGGGACGGGCCGGCCCCGTCGTCGCAGGCTTCACTTTGGTGACGTGCCTGCCCGGTCCTTGCAGAAACCTGCCCCTGGCCATCATCGTCTCCCTCCCCGTCGTCACCCTGGTGTACGTGCTGACGAACCTGGCCTACTTCAGCACGCTGTCCCCTGAGCAGATGCTCTCGTCGGAGGCTGTGGCCGTGGTAAGATGCCACCTGCCGCTAAGAGCCGGCCGCGGCCCTCTGAGCCCACGAGGAGAAGCAGGCTGGGCCCCTCGTCTGCAAACTGTGCTCCTACTCAGAGGGGTTGAGCTGGTGCTTTACCAAGCCTGCCAGCGGGTGCAGGGCGCTGGCTGTATGTGGGGACCACAGGGGGCTTTAGCAGCGCTGGTGCCCAGACCACCCTGGACAGTTTTAAGTTGGCACGTCTGTGGTGGTCCCAGTGACGGTCGCTCTTAGAGCCGAGGGGCTGAGTCCATTACGGACCTCCAGCCCCACCTCAGAGGCCTGTCCCACCTTCCGAATAAATACTGAGCCCTCAGGGAGGGGATTGTGTGTGGGCCAGCCCGGGGGTGGGGGGCGGTGAGGAGCCTGCGGACGACCAGGTGAGGCAGTCAGGGCGTCATGGGGCAGGGCTCACGCTCGGCGTCTGTCTAGGACTTCGGGAACTACCACCTGGGCGTCATGTCCTGGATCATCCCCGTCTTCGTGGGTCTGTCCTGCTTTGGCTCCGTCAACGGGTCCCTTTTCACGTCTTCCAGGTGAGCCCGGCCAGGGCCGTCGCCCTTGGTCACTCAGGCTCTGGCGGCAGAGCGGTGGAGCGGGTGGGGCTGCGCGTGGGGAGCCGCTACGTGTGGCTTTCTCGTGTGCGCTCGGAGAGCTCTATCTTTTGTTACTTTGAGTAATAACGTAGCTGTCAAAACATTCAAGTGACACAGAAATGACGCACGTTCCTGCCCAGAGGTGACACAACCGCTGTGTCCGTCCAGGCTCTCTCGTGGGTTCACGTGAACCCTGCGGGGGGCTGGAGGTGACAGGGCCCCTTTCCAGCTGGCTCCGTGGGGGACACCAAGGCCCACGGCCGGGAGCCCGGTCCTCATCACAGGCCCCCTCCGCTCCCCACCTGCCTGGGTCCCTCGGCCGAGGCCGACCGCCTGCCCCTCCGTCCACAGGCTGTTCTTCGTGGGGGCCAGGGAGGGCCACCTGCCCTCCATCCTCTCCATGATCCACCCGCAGCTGCTGACGCCCGTGCCCTCGCTCGTGTTCACGGTGAGTCCCCGCCCTCCATGGGGCAGGGGTCACTGGCGGGGGCGAGGTGGAGGGTGGGCGTGTCCCTCAGGGATCCCTGTCCCTCGGGGGTTGTTGGGGGCTCTGCGGAGGGAGTCCGGGGAGCGGCCATGCCGTCCCGGCTCCGCCCAGTGTCACCGGGCTGCGGGCCGGAGGCCAAGGTGGAGGTGAGACGGGCTGCGGCGCAAAGCATTTCTCCACGTCGTGCTCTTCGCCACACGCTCCCCTGAACTGCAAAGGGCGCTGGATAGTTTCTTGTTTCTCGTTCCAAAGTTAATACGTGGTGGTTGTTATAAAGAAAGAGAGAGAAACAAGAAGCAAGAACAACCTGGAGGCGTGTGGAGCCAGACCTCCCCCGCAGGGCAGCGCGTGGCCTGTGCCCCCTCCTTGAAATCCGGGCGCCTTGGCCCCTTCCCCATCAGCGCTTTCCTTTGCCGTGAGGGCCCGCGTGTCCCACAGACCACACCTTCCTTTAAGACGGGAGCGGGTGCGTGCGGCCGGCCTGCCCGCCAGGCCCGCCCGCCAGGCGTGCCGCGGCGGCTCACGGCCCGTCCCCATGCTTGCAGGGCGCCATGACCCTGCTCTATGCCTTCTCCAGAGACGTCTTCTCCGTCATCAACTTTTTCAGCTTCTTTAACTGGCTCTGCGTGGCCCTGGCCATCGTCGGCATGGTCTGGCTCCGCCACCAGAAGCCAGACCTGGAGCGGCCCATCAAGGTGAGGGTCCGCACCGCCCCCACGTGTGCCCGGGCAGCCAGCGTCGCCCTGTGGGCCTCCGTCCCCTCTGCACACCGGAGCTCAGGGCACCCTTCTCCAAGGGCCCTGGTGAGAAGCCTTGAGTTCTACTGACGACCGTTTGATTCTCGGTGCTGGGGCTCTTCAAAGGACACGGTAGACGCCCGCCCCCCAGCACCTAATCCTCCTGGAGCTTATCTTCTAGCGAAAGGAGAGGAGCAGGAGTAAAGCAGCTGGCGGCCCCGGGCGGCCGGGGTGCCGTGAGCAGACTGCACGTGGGCGCAGAGGGCGCGGGCCCCACCTTGTCTGGGGAGGGGCGCATCCCCTGACTTTGCCCCTGAGTGAATGGAGGCTTTTCGGGACCAGGCTGCCCACCGTCCCCCCGGCCTGAGGTCGGCTCTCTGTGTCCTCATAAACTCAGTACCGGGCACAGCTGCCCAAGGGCGACCTTATTTCTCCAAAAAGGGGGTCACAGCCCTGCTGGGGAGGCCTGGTGAGCACGTCAGCTGTCCCCCCGACAAGTCATGCTGGAGTGAGAGGGCAGAGCCCGTGGCGTGGCGGCTGCCGACCGGCAGCTTCTGCCCTTCATCCAGTCCTGGTGGCGTGTGGCCAGCAGCTGGCGCCTGTCCACGGGCCCCTCACCCACCGAGCAGTCCTGCAGTGCCAGCCAGGACCAGCTTTCCTGTCTTGGACAGGTTCCGCCACGGGACCCAGCGACCTCAGTGCCCTGGACCACCTTGCTCCCTGCTCGTGGGGGCCTGTCCTTGTGGAGCTGGGGGTGGAGCAGGCATGAGGGCCGACCTGATGGGACCCTCGCTCACCCCAGGGTCTCTTGCCAAGGTGTAGACAGAGGGCGGGTTCCAGGTGTGGACAGGCCGCCTGGCAGGAGGCACGGTGGGTGCAGACAGGGGACAAGTGTCCCTGGGGCCCTGGCTGCGCTGTGGGTGCCTCTGTGGCTCCTCTTCCGGGCCCTGTGTGGGCGGGGCTGTCTGCCAAGCAGCCACGCAGCCTGTGGTCCAGTCCATCCGCAAGGGCTCTCTGAGGAGGTGGGCGCCCCTTGCCTGTTAGCGGGTGGCCACGGCCTTCCCAGAGGCATTGCCCCAACACTGGGAGACCGTGGTGAGGGGCGGGGCCAGGGTCCCGCCCTGCGATGTGGGAACCAGGGGGGCCCACCTTGCCCGACCTGGGAAGCCTGGTTGGTCCAGCTCACCCGCCAGCACCAGCTGGGCTTTGGGTAATTACTGCCCAGCGCCGGGTGCTGAGGTGGGTAAACGGAGAACAAGGTGGGGTCCTGGCACGACTCAGGGGAACCTCAGGCCCTCGTAAACCCTAGAGACGCTGCACGGCGAGTGTGGCAGCCCGGGAGGTCGGGCCCTTTTGGATCCGGAAGGATCAGCTGGGCGCAGGGCTGTCCGGGGGGTCCATGGGAGGGGCTGGGTGGGCCGAAGGGCGAGGCCGGCTCTGGCGGGGGCACAGGGAGGACGCCGTGCTCCCAGGGGTGGCCAGGACACCACAGGCGCAGGACAGGAGGGGAGGTCCCACTCCCCGTGTCAGCTGCGTCCCCTCCCCAGGTCCACCTGGCTCTCCCAGCGTTGTTCATCCTGGCCTGCTTGTTCCTGATCGCCGTCTCCTTTTGGAAGACGCCCGTGGAGTGCGGCATCGGCTTCACCATCATCCTCAGCGGCCTGCCTGTCTACTTCCTCGGGGTCTGGTGGAAAAACAAGCCCAAGTGGCTGCTGCAGAGCATCTGTGAGTACCTCCCCACAAGCCGGGCCTCCTCCAGCCGCCCTGGGGTCTGCCCCTCCCACCTGGCCAGGAGTCGCACGGCAGGCAGTGCCCACGGCCCTGGGTCAGCGGAGGGTCGGGGTCGGGACGTGTGAGGCCCTGGCCAAGCAGACCGAGCTGGGCGTGTCTGGTGGTGACCTAGCCTACGTGTTTCAGGGTAAGGCGCTCAGCTGCGCACCAGCTAATCTCAGAAAAAGGGATTCCAGAAAACCAGGCCGCTCTTGCCAAGTAACGAAATCCCCGTCTGCCGCCAGCTTAAACCCAGCCGGCTGAGGAGGAGAAACAGGATCTGCACTGTGGCCACAGGGCTCATGTACAAGCCTGGTTCAGGACCCTGTGCCGAGACCGCTGTTAGCGTGACAGGCTCCTGCGTGGGCTTCAAAATCCCCAGGGTAGCCGTCCCAGAATTCTGATGGGCACCTGCCCGGGGCCCAGGACGCCGTCCATCACGTTGCTGGAGCTTTGCCTCCAGCCCGGACTGCAGTCCCTGTTAAAGAGCTGTCAGAACACACCAAGGGCCTAGAGCAGGGCCCCTCCGTTTTGAAGTCTCCCCCGAGTGATGCTCCTGAAGGCTCTGGGGGTGATGGGTTCACCTGGGCGCCAGCACACCCGCCTGTTCCAGCCCCTCTGAGGACCGTGGTGGGCGTGCTGGCTGCCGGTCCTGGAGGTCTGCCAGGCGGTGGCCCAGGTGTGGTGTCACAGCCCTCCAGCAGCAGGGCCACCATCTAGTTACGTCTCTCGATGGTCCTGGGGTCTGAACCGGGATGAGGGGTGGAGCCGGCACCCGCCTGTTGCCGGGATCCTTGGCCACACCTCCCTGAGTAACGTAACCGTCAGTAACCGTCAGGAGGCCTGCAGGCCCGATGTGCAAACGCGCGCGCACACACGCAAATTGGGAGGGTCCACATAAATTTCTGGCTTTCCGGCTTGTCCTACAACCTCAGGACGCATCAGGACGGGGCGGGGTGAGCCCGCACACCTCGCTGCCCTGACCCCCCGGGGCCGCAGGATCCCCAAGTAACTCCGCTCTTCTCCTGGCAGTTTCCACGACGGTCCTTTGCCAGAAGCTCATGCACGTGGTTCCCCAGGAGACGTAAGCAACAAGATCTGAGAAGCTGCCGGAAAGAAAACGCGGAGATTGTCTTAAACCACCCACCCCTTAGAAAGCGACTCCGGTCCCATCATCCAGGCAGCTCAGCTGGGGGCCCCCACCGTCCCTCCCCCGGGGTGGCGGCCGGGCCACTGTGAACCCTGGTACGAATTTAGTCCCAGAAGACGGATGTCCGTGGATACCTCTCGAGCGTGGAGGCGGGAACGTTGGACCGAGGAGGCCGCGGGGCTTCCTGCCGAGTCGGGCCTTCTCCCTTCTCACCTTTGTGTGTTTGTACTTTTTTTTAACTTTATTTTATTTTATTTTTTGGCCGCACTGTGCGTCATGTAGGATCTTAGTTCCCCGAGCAGGGATCGAACCTGTGCCCCCTCCATTGGGAGCACCGAGTCTTAACCACTGGACCGCCAGGGAAATCCCTTTATTATTTTTGTTTTAACTTAATCTTAGGTCGCGTCAACGCCACCAAGATGATTATTTTTTAAAGAAACGTGTGTGTGGGGGCAGGGGGCGTCTTTTCTCCCCTCACGCCACCCATAGCACGATGTGCCTCAGAGGGACCAGATCCTGTCGCCAGATTCCGGCACGTCTCCGAGAACGGAGGGGTTCTGAGAACCCCCTGGCAGTGTCCCGGGCTCGGCCTCGCCCTCTGGACGGTGGCCTGGACACGTGCTTCAGGTTTGCCGTTTCTCTCTTATCATAGATGTAGTGACTTTTCGTGAAACTAACCCGCGTGCTCACGTCTCGTTGCCTTAAAGACCTGCGCTAGCTCCCTTCCCAACCCCCAAAAGGAAAGAACATCTCAGTGAAAGGCTTGTAGAAGGAAAGGCCTTGGGCTGATCAACAGTGGTGCCCTAGTGCCTGCCGCGGGCAGGGGGATACGAACGGAAGTCAGGGGCAGCTGGGAGACCCCGGACCTCCCACCGGGACGTGCAGATCGGGGCCAGTTCGGGGGCTAGACCCTGTCACTTAGGACACCTTTGGGCTCCTCCTGACTGTACAATCCCTCCCTGGACGCCAGCCTGAGCAAAGGCCAGAAGATTCCAGCACCTCCTATGGTAGGCAAGTGGGCAGTGCTGTTTCAGGTCTGTTCTGCATCGGTTTTGGAGTCAAGCTCTAGTCCTTTGACAGCTTCACCCTTGAAATCTGGAAGCAGACGCTGTAACCTCTCATGGGCTTCTCCTCTGTGTTCCTGCAAGGCAGCTCTCCCGGGCCTCGAGGGCTGGACGGCAGCCCTGCCAGCTGTCTGGGGCTGGCTCTCAGCTCCTGGCCAAGGCACTGCTGTCCCCTCCCCTGTCACCTGTCCCAGGCTCAGGGAGCTAGAGTCCAGGCCTCGGCGCTCTGACTGCACCTGCTCTGGAGGCCACCTGACTCAGGGGGTCTGGCTCCCGCTGAGACCAGCATGGTACACCCACCCTCCCCTCCGGAGAGGCTGTACTCGCAGGCTTTTGTGTTTGTGGTTCCCATAGAATTTTCCCCAGGGGAGGCAGCCGAGGCCCAGAAGCTCCTCTGGCCTGGCCACCGGCTGGCTTTCCTGTGCTGTCACTGTCCACAGAGTCAGCTTGGGGAGCAGCGTCACCCAAGGTCAGATCGGCTCCCTCCAGGCCCCTCTTAGGCGCTGGCGGCTCTGCCTTGGCCTCTGACCCTTGACCTTCCCACCACGGGGAGGATGAGACTAGCCCTTGGGCATTGAGCCTCACTGCTCAGCTGTAGCCATTTCCCAGGGGCCACGTGAGCTCCGAGTGGCCAGTCCATCCACTGCCACCCACCTGGGCTCCAGGGCCCCACGTGGTCCGATGGGCCCAGAGAGACCTGACAAGCAGCTTGTTGCAGGGGGCCAGGCTGGGCATTGAGGCTGAAACAGAGGTGGCCACGTGGCCACCCCTCCCTCTTCGTGCTGGTCAGGAGACCCCTGCCCGCCTGTAGCTCCTGACATGTGAGGACCGACGTCCACGGAAGTCTCCTCACCAACTCAGTTGTCCCGGGGCTGTAATCCACACATCTAGGGGCTCAGCTCAACGTCTGAAGGCAGAATGTCATCCAGGAAGTCAGAGACCTGGTTTTAGACCTTCTGTATTGGGGCCTCAGTTTTCTCACCTGTAATTGGGGGCCGCAGCTGCTGTACTACCTGCCTGGTGGGATTGCGCCCCTTCAGGAGGAGACTGTGGCCATCGTAGCCACCGCAGCCCCTCGCACAGGTGGCGGGCAGGGTGCTGCCTGGGGTGCACTGCCCACCGCCTTTCCGCGGTGGTCCAGCAACCTCTAGCAGATTTT